ATAAATAAATAAATAAGAAAAAGATAATGGGTAGCCCTAAACTATGAGATAGAGCAGAGCAATTGCAGGTGCCACAAACCTCTTATACAGCAGGGAAAGAGAAAAGCGTGAGGTGGAAGCCTGAGGAAGAAGGCTGGGGAAAAGCCTCTGTCTGTGGAGACGCTGACAAATTTTGGTGACATGGCAGGAATGAAAATAAATTTTAAAAAAAGTACTTTTGAAAAATATGAGAGATCACGAACAATTGAAAATAATAGAAAGGACCAACTTTCAAGAAGAGAGTCAGATTTATTATTTATTTATTTATTGAGCTTATATGCCACCCATTTAGACATAGTCTACTCTGGGCAGCTCAGATACTTAGGAATTCAAATTACAAAGAAAATAAGTACAGTATTTAAAGACAATTACTGGGAATTCAAATCACAAAGAAAATAAGTACAGTATTCAAAGAAAATTATATGAAATTGATTAAAGAGAAACAGACAAGCTTGGAGAGATGGGATATACTACAGCTGTCGTTGATGGGAAGAATAGCAATGATCAAAATGAATACTCTACCCAAATTTTTATTCTTATTCCAGACAATTCCAGTGATATTAAAACAGTTTCCCTTCCAAGAACCTAATTAGATAATCATGAGATTCCTCTAGCAAGGTACAAGAACTTAATAAGATAATCATGAGATTCCTCTGGCAAGGTAAAAAAAAAACAAGAATCAAAATCAAAGCAATGCAAGATGCCAAACAAAGAGCAGGTTTTGGTCTTCCAGATTGGATGTTATTCTGCCTGTATATTAGTTTGGATAAAGGAATGGATAACCTTAGATAATGATAGGCTACTTAATTTAGAAGGACAGGATCTGCAGTTAGGATGGCATGCTTTTTAATGGTATAAAAAGGTTAAAGAACATAAAAGTTTCAATACTCACACGATAAGAAGAGCCCTACAATGGACTTGGGGGAAAATTGCACGGCAGATATACCAAAAAATACCAATTTGGCTATCACCTATAGAGGCCTTTACACAACCCAATCTTAGGACAGAAATGAAATTGTTATCAAGATTTATTTTAAAAGAATTGTTGTTTAAGGTCCAAAGAAGAGTTAGAGGTGCAAAATATATATTTAGACCGGTGGCCTAGAGCACAAATGGAATCCAAGTATACAAAAGATAAAATAGAGGGCTTCTATGCAGAACTAACAGTATTTGATAAACTTTTGTTGGGCTCAAGCGAGAAAGTAATTAAGAAGATGTATGATTATTTGCTTGAAACTAAAATGCAAGATGAGATTGTAGAAGAATGTATGATCAAGTTTGCCCAAAATACAGGACATAATATTGACACTGATCATTGGCTGCAAATATGGAAAAATATTATAAAGCTTACAAAATCGGTAAATTTTAAGGAGAACATATATAAGATGTTTTAATGTTTGTTGAAAGTGGACGTTTTTATTTCAAGCACAAGAGGGAAGTTTTTACCATATGTGGTGGACTTGTAGAGAGACAAAGCAGTACTCAGTAGTAGTGCATACTTACCAAAGCAGTACTCAGTAGTAGTGCATACTTTATTACAAAAAATATTGCTTTGTAATAGTCCATTAAACCCAGAATTGTTTTTTTTTAATATTATACCTGACAACATAGATAAAACAAATAGCTACCTAGTTATACAGATAGTCACAGCAGCCAGAATTCTCTGTGCAAAGAACTGGAAGAAATTGGAGATACCAAAAGAAGAGGCGCTCTTGGAGAATTTTGGGAAGTGGCAGAGATGGACATTTTATCGGAAGTGTTGAAAGACTGTCCAATACAAAAGGTAACTGAACGATGGGATTTACTATATAAATGGTTTGAGTCAGTAGATAGAACTGGATAAACATAGAACTAAACTAAGAGGTAACTGTAAGTTAGAGATGGGGATGACTCACCATTATGGAGAGTCGTCCCGCTTCGTGATTCATCAAAAGTCAACGATTCATGAAGCACGAAGTTGCCCCCATGAAGCAACGAATAATGAAGTTATTCATCAAATTGTGGGGGGTTATTAAAAAACCACACACACACACAAACTCCACTGCCACCACCACCACCCCTCCCTTAAGGCAGGCTAAGGGAATCCAGGCTGCCCTTTGCAAAGACGGCAGCTGCAGCATCCCTGCCCTAAATTAAGCTGAAGCTGCCAACTTGGCAAAGGGCAATAATACAGTATGGGGCTGTCGGCAGGGGTGGGGGAGTCAGTTAGGGAGAGGAAGGGGGTGGGGTAGACTGGGGGTAGGTATCTGTGGGTGGATGAATAAAAGGGGGAACTATTCATCAAGCTGTACTCGTTGGGACTTAAAATTTTACAAATATGGATTGACGAATATTTAACAAATCGGCTATTTTTGTCGGAAAAAAGTAATACAGTATGGGGCTGTCGGCAGGGGTGGGGGAGTCAGTTAGGGAGAGGAAGGGGGTGGGGTAGACTGGGGGTAGGTATCTGTGGGTGGATGAATAAAAGGGGGAACTATTCATCAAGCTGTACTCGTTGGGACTTAAAATTTTACAAATATGGATTGACGAATATTTAACAAATCGGCTATTTTTGTCGGAAAAAAGATCCGTTCTTATATTCATCCTCATCTCTACTGTAAGTAGAAATCTAGAAGGGCAATCAAACTATAGAAAGGCCAAAAATTAATGAGACATTGTAATGTGAATAACAAGATTTTATGATAGTATATTGTATGTTCTCCTTCTCCCCTTTTTATTCCCCTTTTACCCCTTGTACCCTTTACCCCATTCCCAGTCTGAAATAATTTTTTTTTAAAAAATTAAAAGCTAACTAAAGAAAGATTGTGTTTTTTTAGGAGCACTGTAGAATGGTTAAACTTAGGTCACCGACACGTACATTTCCTCAGCCTAATCCATTGTAGAAATGAGTTTTAAAAATACAGTCCCTTTGCTCTCTTTTGCTCCCTTCCTCCACTTGGTGCCATGAGAGACTGCTTGACTCACCCACCCCTGAAGCAGGTCCTGATCTTCGAAATCCTCAGCCTATACTTTATTTCTCCTGGACACCAGCAGAAATGGTTTCTGAACATGTCATAGGTTTTGTTTTTGTAAATTATGTAGGTTGTCATCCAATTTCTTTTCATCTTTGGAGTCATTTCACTCAGTTCCTTTCATCATCTCATTCTGTTCCTGCTATCAGTTTGTCAAGTGAGAAGAATAATTTTATCTTAGATCAGATGTGCATCTGCCAAAAGGTGTGATAAAATGCTCACATTTGTCTATTCAATGTCTAGTGAAGCTTGAAAACAAAGCGTATTCAGATTGCCAAGATCCAAACATGTGCTGTTGTCTTTCACCCATATTTTGGTCTCCTTTGCGTATCATCCCGATCTGGACAGTTTTACGGGGGCTGTGAAAAGAGACGAAGAGATTTTCAGAACAGCTCACTGTCACATACCCATTAAGAGCAGGGCAAATGCTTCCTGCCCTTAGTCTGAATTGGCTTTGTTTCATGATCTGGCAAATTTGATGGTGTTTGTACTATAAACAAAGTGTCAGTATATAATTGATGCCTGTAAGTCAGGGGGAAAAGACAGACAAGTACAGGGAAAAGGGTGAGGAGCACAGAGGGAAAACGTGTAATGTGAGAAGCAAAACGACAACAGCTGGAAGGGATACCAGTTCTAAGAGAAGCATTTTGAGCCTTCCTCAACTTCCTCTACACCCAGAGTGAATATTCGGCATTGACCATCTATTGATGTGTTTTATGTATATGGGGAGAATGAGTGTGTGTTACAAAATAAAAGGTGTGAGGAGGGGATGTGTGTTTTACAAAACTAAAATGTGTAAAATGCCACCTTTCACACAGTGGGAATTAAAAGAAGAAAGAACAACTGCCTAGTAGTCACTTGACATTTCCAGAAAGCATTGAAGTTATACGTGGGGAGGGAGGAGACTAACTTTTTGAAGATAATGAGAAGACACCTCCAAAGTATAGGGGGTATCACTCTAATCATAAAGTTGTAATTAACTAAACTTCACAATATTCCTAATTCTAAAGCCACATCTAGGATGAATGACTGGTTTCTTGGCTCCACCCACACACCATTAAACAAGTCCTTCTGTGTATATAAACTCATGCAGGGCCACATGCATTAGATTTCTGTTCCTTGATGACTTACAAAGCAGAGGACTGTTAATCACCTATTCTGCACCTACCTCCTCTCGGATCTGGGAATGGATGCCCCTCGACCAAGACAACAAGAATTCTTCAGCATAAAGTTTGCCAAAGCTGTTTTGTGTGAATTCGTAGCCACTGTGATCTTCATTTTTATTGCCCTGGGCTCAGCCATGAAGTGGCCCTCAGAACAGCCCAGCATCCTCCAAATCTCCTTGGCTTCTGGCCTCACCATATGCACCTTGGTTCAAGCCTTCGGTCATATCAGCGGAACCCATCTCAACCCAGCCGTGACTGTTGCCTACTTTGTTGGCAACCAGATTTCCATCATCCGTTTGGTGCTTTACGTGGTGTTGCAGCTGTTGGGTGCCATCATCGGTGCTGGAATTCTCTACACTGTGACACCTCCAGAAGTCCGCAGAACGTTACCCCTCAATGAAGTAAGTCTTTCTGCTAGCAAAGCAGTGATTAACTGGATATAAGCTTGTGTGTGAGTGACTTCCAGCCTCCCAGGTTGGGCAAAGGAAGGGACATAAACAAAACTGGCAGTTCTGCAAGGGCTGGGGTAGGTGAGGCTTGTTCCTGGATTGCAATACGGAGCATGCAAGCTGCATTGGCGTTTCGTAAGAGACTGAAATGAGACCTTGCCCAAACTTCCCATGATACAGATCGTAGTCTGCTTTCAGAAGAGATTAACCTAAGTCAGTGGTACCCAGCCTTGAGTCTCTGGATGTTTTTGGACTGCAATTCCCAGAAATCCTGGCCAGCAAAGCTGGTGATGAAAGCTTCTGGGAGCTGAAGGTCAAAGACATTTAGGGACCTAAGATTGGGAACAACTGACCTAAGGCACCATTATACTTCTAAATACTACCTCATAGAGATGCAATGTGAGGAAGACTATTGCTTTCACACTCTGCTTATATTCTGATGAGATGCACCTGACTAGCCAGTGTTTCAAGCTGAATTTCGATCTGATCAATCAGAGCTTTTCTATCAGTTCTGAGTCTGTAGCTGGGTTAGGAAGAGAGGTTGGCATGGCTATGGAATAGGCCTTATGACAGCATGATGTACCTTTCTTCCATCAATCATGTCTGCTGTAAATTCTTGTAATGTCTGAGTGGAAAACTGACCAGAAGTAGTAAACTACTGGGATGTCTGGGGATGCTGATAAGTATTGAGCCTTTCCCAGAATAAAATGAACTACGGAGCTACAAATTGCAGGGTATATTGGCCAATTTGTCTGTATTCAATGGTGCAAAAATCAACTACCTATGATTTTAACTTATTTTTCATGTTCAGGTCCAAAGTGAACATGGCAGCACCTCCAGGAAAGTTCAATGTGGAAGAGCATAGGACCATAATGAAGTTTCTGTTTCTCCAAGGGAAAGGTGCAAAGCAGATCCATGATGAACTGTCACAAACTATGGGTGATAGTGGCCCTTCATATGCAACAGTTAAATGTTGAGTTGTCAATTTTAGAACTGGCCATTTCGGGGGTTGAAAGTGAGAAATCCAGTGGAAGGCCTGTTTCTGTCTCTGTCCCTGCAAATGTGAAAGCCATCCATGACATGATCATGGAGGACTGCTGAATATCAGCCAATAGTACTGCTATATATCTAAGAATATCACGTGAGAGAGTTGGTGCCATTATCCACAACGACTTGGAAATGAGAAAGCTGGCAGCAAAGTGGATCCCCAAACTTTTGACAACCGAACAAAAGAGGAAGCGTGTGGAGTAATCGGTAGCTGTTTTGGAACATTTTGCAAGAAATGAGTCAGATTTCCTGGGCAAACTGGTAACTGGTGATGAGACATGGATCACCTACAGTATTATGATCCTGAGACAAAGGAAGAGTCTAAGGAATGGAGTCACAGTGGTTCCCCCAGGCCAAAGAAGTTCCGAGTGCTAAGGTCGGTGCAGAAACAAATGGCAACAGTTTTTTGGCATAAGAAGGGAGTTCTACTGGTGGACTACCTCCAACAGGGTTCAACCATCAATGCAAAATATTACTGTGCTTTATTGACAAAATTGAGGCAAAACATCAAGGAAAAACATTGAGGAAAGCTCTCCAAAGGTGTCATCCTGTTGCATGACAAAACCTCGTCACACACTGCAAAACAATGGCAAAACTGACCTCCTTAGGCTTTCAAGTGATGCCCCATCCACCCTATTCTCCCGACCTGGCTCCTTCTGACTATTATCTGTTCCCCAAACGCAAAAAACACCTAAAGGGACAACGATTTGGGCGTGTTCTGGAGGCAACTAATGCAAATGAGTGTTTACACCAGCAGTCGGAAGAAATCTATTTGCAGGGACTTAAGAAGCTGCAGGACAGATGTTGCAAGTGCACTGACTTCCTGGGGGAATATGTAGAATAGTGTGGCAGTTACAGCTTCCTAGCTCACTTTTTTCTGGGAAAGGCTCAATACTTATCAGCACCCCCTTGTATCAAGTTTCATCCAATCCAGTGAAGGACTGGAGAAAGTCACCAAGGCAGAACGAGTTGGGTGAATCTCACATCTGACTTCTGCAACAAAATGCAGAAGAATAATAGACAAAGGTCTTGTAAAGAGAAACAGTACTTATTGGAGAAAGAGAGAGAAAACAGACCAATTGAAAATCCTGCATAGATTAGAATCACTTAGTCAACAAGAAAGCATGGCTTTAGGAACCACCAGTGAGAACAGGAGAAACAGACAACACCAACAGAATAATCCTATCCACGTTTATTCAGAAATAAATTCCAGTTCTCAGAATCTTATCAATAGTCTTACCTCGAGTAAACTCATTGAATCAATGAGGTTGCCTCACCATTCAGCAACTAATTCAGTAGGTCTACTCTAGCTAACCCTAGTCGCCAGAATCCTATTGGTAGTCCCAAATAGAGTACAGTAGGTGCATTGAATTAACCTAAGTGTTGACTCATTGTCCACTGCAGTTAGAATTAACAATAGGCCAAAGTGTTTAACAGGATCAACTTTTAGTATGTGCTGGAATGCAAGAGTAAGCACATCTGCTCCACTAAGTTCAATAGAACTTGTTATCTTATATGTGTGCTTAGTATCACAGCACTAGACATGTTTTAGTGGGAAGCTAGTAATGGCCTGCTGCTGAGTTCATTTTATTTTCAAGTTTTTTAAAAAAAACACACACACTGTTTTTCCTATACTTTGCAGCTCTCCTCTGGGATAACACCTGGTGAGGCACTGGTGGTAGAAACCATCCTAACCTTCTCTGTGGTTATGTGCATCTTCTCTTCTACGGATAAACGGAGGACAGATAGCAGAGGCAATTCAGCTCTGTCTATTGGACTGGCTGTCACCATGGCTCATCTCACTGGGGTGAGTGCCTGTGTTTGTTTGTTAACTTTTCAACAAACTGAAGTCATCCCATCATTCAAAGAAACAAGACCTGAGAAGCGCCTCCCAGCATGCCTTAAGATGCCTCAAATTGCTAAGGGAGGGACTGAAACAACAATAGAAATATAAGATGTCTTATACTGGGTCAAATCATTGGCCCAATATCGTCAACTAGAGATGAACGAAGTTGTCCGTGCAGCACAGCCAACTCACAATCCATCGTACACTGTCGTGGTCCATGGTCCTCCTTCTCTGGCAGTGGTCCAGGCCAGGCAAGAGCTAAGTCTACCCTTTCCCACCTCCTCCAGCAGCCAACCACTAAGATGAGGATGTGGGATGGGAATTCTCCCTGCGCAACAGTTGAGTGGTCAGCTGCCGGAGGAGGAGGGGAAGGCAGGCAGAGTTCTTGCCCATTTTGGGCTGCAACCTGAGGAGGAGGACTCCATTGGCATGCAACAGATTGTGAGTGGGCAAGCAGGCTGCAGAAGGAATGTGTGGCACCTGTGTTGTGGTACAGATGACTTTGTACGAAGTGTTTCAAATCCATTCGTGCCCACTGCTATTGTCAACTGTGACCAGCAAGGGCTCTTCAGGGTTTCAAACCCAATTCTCTCTTAGCACTATCTGAAGATCCCTGCTTGTCCTTTATCTTCTGGAACGACACAAGATCAAATGTGGTCAAATGGTGGGGAAACAAAAATGATATTTTGGCAATAATTCTGAAACAACTGTAATATCTATTTAAGAATCAGGCACTGAGGTACCTGAAGGAAAATGTGTGGTATATGGGGTATGTTTTTTCTTTAGGTTAAAAAAATCATCTGTGGGATTTCAGAGATAATCCTCCCCCAAATATGTGAAATTCAAAGGCACTCCAAAGAATTTTTCAAAATCTAGTCCAGTTCTTTGTAAGCTGGAGGCAGCACTCATTCTACACATTCCAGAGGTCGTCACTAGATTTTGCCAAAGGGAATATTCAAAGCAAAGTTAGAAGAAAGACTTTGCAGGTGAAAACCCTGAAGGACAGCCAAGAATCTCAAAGTGTTATGATAAAGACGAGGGAAATTTCTCAGAGGAGGGGTTCTGAGCAGGACATCAGAAATGATAAGACATGAGGTATAAACAAAGGGCCCCACCCCTATTCATCAGCCCAAATAGAGTTTATCCACTTTTGACTCAGAAATCATACATTTTTTAAAAAGCCTATCCTGACCATTACTATTGAAGCTGGCAAAGGAAAGCCAAGGCCTAAATCCAGTTAGGTCTGTCTGCCTGGATCCTTTCTTGGCATGCCTTGATTTTTAAAAAAAAACAATTTACATGTATGAAACATGAACGCTAATGAGCTATCAAATATCACAATGTTTGTGTCCACCATGAAATAAAAGTATAATATTTTATGGCATAGTGTAATATGATCGAAAGCAAATAGCACAGAATGCTGTCGAGCGCTCAAACCAATCACATGCCAGTCATGGAATACTGGCCAATACTGAATTCAAAAAGCAAAAACTACTACTGGTTGTCTGATATTCAAATCAGTTGTTCTTGGGAATTCACCAAGTCAAGAGAGCATAAAGATTCAACAACCAGCCTTACAGAGGAAAATTTATTGAGAAGAAAATTGTTTTCAGCTCAACGTTATACTCTGTGTTTGCAAAAAATATCCATAACAGGAAGAAAGGAGGAGCATCTTCTCTGGGGGTGGAAGTAGCCTCAGCGATGTTTTCAATCTGCTTCCCCAACCCCTGTCCTGCCCGTGCCCACCCCATCCCAAAACAGGAAGCTGTAGATTCAGCAGAATACAGAAATGGAAGGATCTAAAGCAGAGGTCCCCAATCCCTGGCCCGTGGCCCGGTGCTGGTCCGCAGAGACAGGCCTCCTGCCCTCCCCTGCATGCACTCATCCCCACACAAGTGATTTGCGCATGTGCACGTGCTCCAGAGCACCCATGCGAGCACTGCGCTGCCGTTTGTGCATGCACCCGCGCACCTGTGTGAGCACTGTGCCACCGGTTGCGCATGCACACAAGCACCCACGCACCCACACAAGCGCCACACCACCATTTGCAGATGCAGATGCACACACTCAGTCGTGCGAGATAGAGAGAGTGCATTCGTTCATGCATGTGCACGAGCACAGGGGGTGCCCTGCCTTCCCCAGCTAGTCTGCAGGGTGAAAAAGGTTGGAGACCCCTCATCTAAAATCTAGCCTCTCTGAACACTGGATGAAGTGACCTTGAGAATCATAGGGCAAAATACATGAGAAATCAGACAAAGACAGCAAATTTAAAACCCATGCCCTTTCTTCCTTTAACAGATTTATTATACTGGATGCTCCATAAATCCAGCCAGATCCTTTGGTCCTGCTGTCATCATGGAAACATTCAATGGATCTCACTGGGTAAGATTCTTCACTACAAGACATGCTATCTAAGTGCCCAAGGGAGGGGAAAGGGTTGCTAAACTACAACACAATTTGAGCCCTGTGCAGTGGACAAAGCAGAAAGATGGCTTGCCAGGGCTACAGCAGAGTCTCAGAGCACAGTTCCACTATTGAAATAAATCATGCAATGGATGAGCATTTTTGAAGTCAGTTTAAAATCACATGGTAGTCATGTAGTTTTTTTGGATCACTGTGTTGTATATCAGTCAGGGGGACTACACAGCTTTTAATGTCCTTGTATTTGAGGCTTAGTCCTTCACCCAGCTCCTCTCATGCTGTGCTTGACAGTATGGAAAATGTCTCAGGGGGACTACACAGCTTTTAATGTCCTTTTATTTGAGGCTTTGTCCTTCACCCACCTACTCTCATGCTGTGCTTGACAGTGTGGAAAATGTCTAGTACAGTAGTGCCTCGCTTGACGATTATCTCATTAGATGAGGAAATCACTTGACGATGAAGTTTTTGTGATCGCTTTTGCGATTGCAAAACAATGTTTTAATAGGCAAAAACCGCTTAACGACGATTGGTTCCCTGCTCCGGGAACCGATTTCTCACTTAATGATGATCTTTACAGCTGATCGTCAGGTTTTCAAAATGGCCACCCGCTGTTTAAAATGGCTCCCCACTGTGTTTTAGGATGGATTCCTCACTTTACAGGCACCGAAAATGGCCGCCCTATGGAGGATCTTCTCTGGACGCTGAGGTATTTCGCCCATTGGAATGCATTGAACCGGTTTTCAATGCATTTCAATGGGCCTTTTCGTTTCGCTTGACGAGGATTTCGCTTAACAGCGATTTGAACGGAACGAATTATCCTCGCCAAGTGAGGCACCACTGTGATGGATGCCAGGATCACAGGTTTCAGGGTGCAGAAAAACTTTGTGGTTTGACCTCGTCAAGTGAGGCACCACTGTAATATGGATGCCAGGATCACAGATTTCAGGGTGCAGAAAAACCTTGTGGTTTGATCTGTGTGTGTTTTTTTTTTTTTGGTATCTGTAATACTAAAATAGCACTATCCCAGTTAGAGAGAAATTTTACTGTTTTTTTGTTGTTGTTGTTGTTTTGTATCTGTAATACTAAAATAGCACAACCCAGTTAGAAATAAATTTTAAAAAATAACACTGACAGTGGCAGCAGCAGGCATCTGTGAGAAGCAGCCAGCACAAGGGACAAAGCCTCAAATGCAACAGATTTGCACAGAGCTTGCCTGCCTTAGACTGGCTGGCTCTCTCAGCCACTCATCACTGCTGCCACCAGTATTATTTTTTTATATTTGCTTTTGAAATTCCTTTCAAAGTAGGATAGCACTATATAGTATATGTATTACAGATAGAGAATGTATAACAGATTAGACTGCAAAGCTTCCCTGAAGCCCAAAACCTGACATCTCTTACATGAACAATCCCACAGACACAATTTACTCCAACCCAGGTAAGCACACATGCCAAAATGAATCAAAATAAATTGCATCCACAATCAAATTAAAATAATCAATTCCCTGGAGGTTGTTTGAAATACCTCATTTTCTAAATTTAAAAAATGCATCTGAGGCAAAAAGAAAAAGCACACTCAAGTGTACATCATGTAAGCTAATTTTTAAAATCAATTTCAAGCGTGCCAAATCCAATGCAAACCCAGGAGGTTTTTTTTTACCTCAAACGAACACTTAGAACGACTCCAGGCCCCTGAACATAGAACCAACCTTATACCTTATCACTGCTTGATAATAAAGAGCATCCAATGCCTCCAAGAGACCTGGATCATTTTTAGATAAGTTCCCAAGGCAAAGTTGGTGTACGACCTGCTTTGAAATGGAATGCATGGAGACAGGAAATAGAGGCCACTTATTTCTCAACCAACCAACCAAACAAACAAAAAAGCAAGAGGGAGGGAAGAAATGCATCACAAAAAATAAGACAGAAGAGGAAACAGATTAACAGTTTTAACTATAAACAAATTTTATAGTTCAAAAGGCTGGCCACTGGCGGTCTATATTTCTGCTCCATTTACTGTCCATGCACTGTTGACAGTCAACTGCAGGAGCCCTCCCTCCTCTCTCACCTTAGGGTTATTGTTCTCTAAGCTACCCAGACTAGACTCGAAATGGAGAACATTATTATTTAGAGGACAGTCCTCTGCCAATCCCTCAATTAGAGGGCTATTCTCTATAAAGTAGAATGGAAACCCACTCTGAGTGGGTGTTCAGCTTCCATTTTATCCTCACAGACTACTCTTAAGAGAGTTTCACATCCTACTCAGCCCTTTCACTCTAACCTCTGGCTCTCTTTCTATCCCAGTGGCTCTTCTTTGCCCTACTGCTGCAATGCCTATTTTTACCAAATGTCCAGCATTTAAAATGCTATGTGGGTGTTTAGGGATGGGACAGCTACTCCGAAAAAGCTTAGCAATTTTTGAGTCTTCATGCCGAGACCTTCTGACCACCCCTTGTATCATCAAGGTTTCTTGGCTTTGTGCAAAAATAAGACTCCAATCTCATTTTCTATTTTAGTTTAGTTTAGCTTAGCTTAGCTTAGTTTGTTCATTGTTCTTAACAGGAACCTATTAAATTCAGTGTGCCTAATGCCATTCTTAACACTTTCTGTGCTGAAAAGATGCCATTCTTCAGCAATTATAATGATCCCACTTAGCTTGGTTTCATTGCAATACTCCTCAGCAGCCTGGCATATTTTTTTTCCAGAAAAAAAAAGGGAGAACTTTAGAGAAATCCTGTGAGATTACCACTGAGATTTGTCAGGAATGCTGTGTAGAGAAATCTTGCTGCTAGGAGAAAAGAATAAAAAGCTTCCCCTGGTTTCCATTCAAGTCACAAGCAGCTGCAAGATTCATATCCCTATTTGTTTGTACGCATTGTGTTTGAAATGGTTGATGCATAAAAACATCTATGTGCTTTGGAAAACAGCCAAAGAAAGTAACCTAAGAAGGCAAATGGTGCAGCATGATGAAATTTTTTAAATAGTTTGTCAGTAATGAAAGCAAAATAAATCAATGATATTACATTTTTAAAACCTATAACTACAGTGGTAGCTAACTACTTTTGGAGCCTTAGGACTTACTTTTTAGGAATATCTTAGGAACAAGCCTCTGTCATCACAGCTGTATCAAGGGAGAAGTTGAAGGTGGTAGAGAAGACCAGCTGAGTGGTATTTAAAGACTCACTGTAGGTAGCAAAGTTATTTTGGCTGGTGCTTCTCAGTGGCTTAGCTTTGTGATGTAGGAATGTGAAGAATACTAATTTTAAAAAGTCTTGTTCGTAGTTTTCCAGGTCTTGCTAAGCTAAGACCTCTTGTTGTGATTTTGTCCTGCACAAAAAAAGATTTTAAGGCACTTGGGGGGAAAAAAGAAATCTTCATATCATTTTCTCCCTGGATTTGTGTGTGTTTTGTTTGATGGTGGTGGTGATTCTTTTTGCCTCTTCATTCGTTCCAGAAACTGCTGAATTCCATGCAGCTCATTACTCTTTTTGGAGACTCTTGCACAGAAGAGGTGCAGGGACTATAACCATTTTATGCAAATTGATGTGCTTTTTTGGAAGGAGAATAGTTACCATGAAAGATCGGAGAAATCTCACACGATTTCTTGATTATAAAATCTCACACTTAAAGATCTCTCTGTGAGGAAAAAGAAGGCCCTTTCTCCCCCAGTTTCTCATGGAGATTGAGAAGCAACAAGATTCATATGTCTAAAATGTCTGACACAGGAAGTAAAATCAATTCCATCCTAGATAGATCACCAATACAATCTGATCTGATGAAACACAGATTTTACATTGGCTTTTAAAAATGAGTCTTCGTCTTATTTCTATAGGTCTTCTGGATTGGACCTTTTCTTGGGGCTATCTTCGCCTCCGTCATCTACAACTACCTGCTCTACCCTCGCAAACTGAGCATGGAAGAGAGAATCGCTATTGTGAAAGGATTCTTTATTCCAGAATATGAATGGAGAGACACCCCAGAAGCAGGACGGACCTGGACTTGAATATGTGCCAGATTATCATGCCAAAACAGTTGTAACGGCACCCGCACATACTTGTTACAATAATGTTGAACACACAGGAATCGTGTTGTCCAACCATTGCAAAAGAAAACAGCATGTTGAGGCTCCCTAGTTTAAAAACAGATGAACTAGCATGGCTCCTTACATAAACTAATCCATACTCTGCTGAAGACCACACCCATAGCAGGCCAAAAAAACCACGAAACTGATCATAGAGCCCCTCTTTATGCCAGATGTTCAAGAGATTCTATATGGTACACCCTGAAAGGGGATGAGTGTGATGTTTAAACATGTAAGCATAAATGTTGGCATTGCCTCTAGCCAAAATTCAGGCTTGTCTGGTGTCATATAACTGGCATTCAGGAAGGGCAGGAGGCTTAATCTCCATCAGCCCATCAGCATATTAAGACTTCCCCGCCAAGCCAGAGGCTGGGCCTACTGGGTAGCTCTGACTCATGGGGCCTCATCTCTTTCCCCCCCCCCATCTGAACCTGCCCATCGGTTTTGGAGGCCAGCAGTAGTGTTGAGCTTTACTGTTCGGCAGCTCAGGAAAGGATTTTAAAAAGCATTAAAAAATGCTTGGCTGCTGCCTGAAGCACTTGGGTCAACCATCCACGTGACTTCACAACCATCCATTTACTTCAGCAAATGACCCAAGGTCTGATTATGTTAACCTCTCGATTAGCTGTAAGCCCGTCACAGATTCCTCATTATTGTTATTACTGTATTGTTGTTGTTGTTGTTGTTGTTGTTGTTGTTGTTACATTCATATCCTGCCTTTCTTGCAATGAGCTCGTGGAAGCTCTTTTTTCCCCCACTTCTGTCCTCATTAGCAACCCTATGGGGTAGGCTTTGCACAATTGACAATTAGAGATGTATATGAAATATACGTAAAACTAAAATGCTAAGATAATCAGACTGGTTTCTACTAGAAGCGAACTACTTCCATGATATTATCTTCACCATTTTCTAGATCTTCTCTTCTTTGGTACATGTGGTGGGGAATAAATTGCATGCATAAGTACTGCATTGATTGAATTTCTCCAGTCACAGAAAATGTGTCCTGTATCCAAGCAGCCCCGTTTTACTTGATTATTCTTTGGCCTTTCTACTTTGCACTGAAGTCAATTAAGTAACTTCCAGATGGTCTGTGAGACACTGTTTGGCTTTCATCCATTCGGCAAAGTGGGTTTTTTTATTTTTATTTTGCTCCACAGATTTAGCCTAGCCTCTTCCAGTTTTAATAGTTAGTGCCTGGCATGTGAGCAGAAAACTTTTCCCTGATTTCAGCTGCCATCTAGGAGGTTAGTGTTAATGAAGTGGATCGGTTTGATTCTGTATTATCTTGCATTAATTCTGGGAGGGGCAATCCCACTCAAATAATAGTCTTTTTCAGTGGGGGTAGGTTTCAGGCAGTCTTAATGAATCATCTTGCATGATTCATTAAGAGCTACATCCGCTTGCTTGGCATGTGCTGATTTAAAGCACATAGCACCGGCATTTTCTGCTGTGGAGTAGCAAGGGATAAAATTGTTGTTCATATTACTTGTGGGTGTGCACCCCAGTCTGACCCAGCCAGTTCCCTAATTATGATATTTCTGGTGACAACTTTCTGGTTGGTGTTTAGACAATTTTTTTTTGTAGGTCAGGGTTCTATCAGGTCAGGGATGACACCCAAATACTTTAGGGTAAGGCAATGTTCCAAAATCTTGCCTTCACAGCTAACTCAGAGCTTCCTCTCTACATCTCTTTTCTTTAAGTGGAATGCGGAGACCTGTGTTTTTAAAGGATTTGGTTCCAGCTGTTTGTTTTTATAATATCAGGAAAGGTCTTCTAGTGCAGTGGCTAGCTGGCCTCAAAGGTTTCCCCCTGAACTGTCAAGAAACTCCTGGAGTGTGAGAATGTTGGCTAAGCATTTGTGTAAATGCTAAAAGGTAATGGCACCAGGACACTACCTTGTGGGAGACCATTCCTTCGATTTCTCCAGCAATTGTGCTTCCCTTGAAATTCAATAAACATTCAGTTTTGAAGAAGAATTATAACGGGGGTGGGTGGTGGGTGGGAGATATGGCCCTGATAAAACTAGCCATTAAATATTGCACTTACTTTGAAAGCCTCTTCGTTTTGCTAAAAGTCAGCTCTGACTTGATGGCACGTAACACACACCTTCCTTCCCTTGCGCCAGCACCAGCCCTATCATTGGGAAGATGAAGCCATATAAGGTGAAATAGATGCTGAAGTGCGAGGAGTGACTTTTGAATGATAGCCCCAGGTGTGCCAGGGACTTGCCCTGCATCCTTAAATTAGCACGGTGCCCTCAGATATAATGGAGGGCACTGCTCCTCTAGTATGGAGTTCGAAATGCCAGGCAGGTTGACTTTTTTGCAAGGAACTGAAGCAAGGCCATTTTGTCCTCCACCTCAGGATAGGGGTGCTTTGTTCAGAGGACAAAGTGGGCATTTGCCCACTGTCTGTAGAGGCCCACATGAAGGGGGGGATTTATTTGGCCCTCTGTGATGTTGCTGGCAGCCTGTGCAGCCTGCTGCTCACTGGGCCTTTGAAGTCTATTGCACACTGAGATCACATGACAGAAGGCACAGAGGGCACTGGCATGATGTACAGTACAAAGTTTATGCATGTATTGCTCACTGGCATGATATACAAAGTCTATGCCTTAAAACCGTGTGTTTGTAAAATTCTCCTTTCAAAAGAGGAAAATATCTTACCTGCCAATATTGATTAATTCTTGGAGCCGGAACTGTGGGTGTTGTTCTTTTTCTTCTTCTTCACTTTTTTGCCTCTTATGCTGAAAGTTGGCACTCACTGGACTCCATTCAACAGCATGAGTTAATTTGTCTCGTTGAATATTGTAGACTGTAATAGAAATTTTTGAGTTATAAACCAGTGATGTGATAAGTCTCATCACTGAGTTGAGTCCATTGTGTTATACTCACTTTGTGGACAAGACTAACTGCTTTACTATAAGGAAGATCTTTTATTTTTAGTATTAAAATTCTCTTTCTTGTATATTTTGCACATTCTAATTTAGGGCTTTGCAGATCCAGGGAGCCAGGGCTCATAAAATCTCTGCTGCTGGCTCCTAATATTTTGAATTTTTCACATAGAACTCTATGGAAGAACTATTTCTTTGCTTCCTAAAATCAACCAGACTGACTCCTGAATTAGTCTGTGTGCCTCCCAAAGTCTACAAATATTTATTAAGCTCTGTATGAATCAATATATCTACAAACTAAATCATAGCAACTCTTATATAATTCTTTCTATTTACTAATAATGACAATGATTTCTTGCACATGTTTACTACACTTACAAAGTCTAGATCGAAATATGGCACCACCTTAACCAAAAAAAAACTAGTCTGGATCTCTTAAAAGGAAAGAAAGGCATAAGAAGGAGCAGGAGAAGATGGCAAGCTTGGGGCAAAATCTGTGCCATCAACATTCCATGATGGATATTGTGACATACCCATGGGAGGTTTAGGTCTTATTTCAGAGAAGAGATGATGATCCTAAAGAGATTATTGTGAACAGCACCAACACAGATGAAAAAGATCATATTCCTGAATGTGAAGAAGATTTGACACTATGGGAATGTGAGGCAATAGAAGGTGAGTGGACCGAGGAGAATAACACAACAGAAGCTGAAGATGACTTTCTCAGTGTTGTACAAGATAAAGAAGATGTCAGTGTATCATCCATTGATCCTGCCTGATGGCCTAAACGGAAGAACATGTTGCAGGAATACTGGTGTCCACAGGGTCCTACTCTGTGCTAGAATTTGACAAGAAATTACAGTGCTTCTGAGAGGTATAATGCCGCTGGTACAAAGCGTTCTCTTACAAAAGATATGTTGGAACGTACCATGTAGAACAGACTGACTGTTGAATAGATTATATCACATATTCTCCTTCACAAGGAAATATTTATTGCTTTCAATGTCTCCTTTTTGCTACATTAAAAACAGAATTTTCTGACACTGGATTCTGTGATTACAAACATACATCACATACGCCTTATAGAGCATGAATACAGTATAGAATAACAACGTGTAAAAGGTGTTGTATTCAAGGATGCATTGATATCAACTTAGAAGAAAACATAAGGAATTATGATAAATACTGGACAGGAGTTTTAAAACTGGGTGTATCTCTTATTAGATTTATTTTGGAACATGGTCTGCATTCTGCAAAACAGCAGAGATATTTGGATCACCAAACAATGGAAACTATCTGGGATTGCTTGAATTACTTGCAGAGTCTGACCCTTTTTTATCTACATATATTGATAGGTATGGTAACAAAGGTAAAGATCATCCTTCTTACCTGTCATTGAATGTCTGTGAAGTATTTATTAATTTGATGGGCATGAAAGTTCAAAACTCAATTGTGAAAGAGGTCAAATTGGCTAATTGGCTAATTGAATATGTGTGGATTCCACTCCTGATTGTGAGTCACTTGAACCAGTTAACCTTTACATTGTGTTATGTTGATAGATGCAGTAGTGAACCAGTGGAAAGATTTCTGCAATTTGTCCCTATATTTTTGCATAGAAGACAGTCATGAGCTGCTGCAATTTGCAAGACCCTTCAAGACCACAATACGGATATTAAAGATTGTCGTGGTCAGGGATATGACAATGCTAGTAACATGTCTGGAAAATAAAAAGAAATGCAGACACGCATTCAGAACATCAGTCTACTGGCAGAATATGTACCATGTAGTGCTCATTCTTTGAATCTGGTTGGACAACAACGAGTTAAGCGCCTGTCCATGTGCTGCAAAAAATGTTGAAACACTCTTGGATTTTTTCCCCTCTTTTTTGTTGGTCTTTGCTTCTAAAGCATCCGAAACCAAATGAAAAAGGACAGGTACTTTTCTTGAAGCAGCTAGGAGACACTCGCTGGTCTAGGCATGCTAATGCTGTGGGAGCTTTGCAACTGAACTACTGCAAGATTATTGAATGTCTCCAAAATATGGGAAATGATCCAGATGAAAATTATGACACACAGCATCAAGTGATATCACTCTGAAGAAATTGAAAAACATCTCCGTGTGCATTATATGGAGCAGGATTTGTAAGGGGGGTGAGAAGGAAAGGAAAAAAAGTATATAAATAAATATATTTTTCCAGGAGATTTGAAAATGTGGCCAATAATAGCCAATCATAGTAATCATGGCTGCAGACCTTTACAGAGAGAATGGAAAACACTGGTAAATTGGGGGAGCGTGTTCATTTTTTGCACCAACCAGTTTGCAGAACAAAAACCACATTGCACAACCATTCAATGCAGCACAAACCCAAATTCACCCAAATTATCAGGGCACAAGGAGCCAAAATGTCTACACCTGCAGCGCTTTAGTTGTGGCACATTCAGTCCTTGTAAAAACAGCCCTGTGCCATTTCTGCAAACTGCAGAGATCAGCAGAACCACGCCCAGAATTATAGCACATCCGCAGATTTCGCAATGATTTATAATGACTGGGACTCTTTCACCTCCTCCCAGATGGAGATCTGTCCCTTGAGCCTCGATAGCTTTCCAAGCTGTCTTGCAGCATCACATGATCAAAGCCCAGAACCCAACCGGGCATTACGTTTTAAAAGAGGCAAT